TATATCGTTCTTAGCCGTTGCTTCAAACTCTTCAAGCTTGGCCGTTCTTGCTTTGAGGTTCGCCAAATTGGCCTCAATATTTCTGACGGAGCTTTCAATTGAATCAAGCTTACTCAGCCTCGCGATGATGGAGTTTAGTTGTTCTCCAAATTGTTCGATTTTGTTGAGAGCCTCCATGATTTCGTCGTTTGCCTCGTAGTCGCTGTTTGTGTTCTCGTCTGCTGTTTCTGCAAGATCTCTGAGTTTTTTTGCTTCATGCAAAGGCGAAGTCTCGTCTCCAGAACTTGTAGACGATCTATTTCCGCGTTTTCTGATAAGGTTAGACAATTTTTCGGCCATGAAAAGCTTTTGGAAGGCGGTCGGCTTTTAGCGTGCTCCTACTCCGCCATCACTCGGCCCAATCTCTACAAACATGACGATACATCGGGGGCGTGAATCGCTGTGTACTACGAATTACGTCCGGAGAACAGATTCAGAGAACATTTACTTTCTACCAGATCGGCAAACGCCGGCCTTCCCTTTGGTAGGCATTTCTCGTCGTCAGATCGCAGTACTGATGATATGCTGAGGTCAGAAATCTGTTTTGACTTCCGTAGTGCTTTAGAGAGAGGCCGTTTTGAGGCCCATCCGATATTCCACCAACAAACCGTCTACATCCTAGGGGGACTCATATCGATTTTGCCTTTATTTAGACCCTTAAGAGTCAGCGCGCGCAAGTAACTTGCCATTGTTTTGTTATGAAAGTTATAATACACGCACACTTTAATTCAGTTGCATCCAGATCACTGATGAAGAGGCAGCAACCTCGAGACATCTGGTTTTACGAATTTTATCCGCGCATATTACAAGAAAATCAACATTGTTTTATAAGTTGTTCACTTCCCGTGGTCGGAGTTACCTGTAATTTTTCTCAGGGTAAATTCAATAGGCGAGCAACCGGCGCTCGGGAAAACTACCTCGCACGAGGAAAGCACGAAGCTCCTGCGCGTCGCGTCTCGTCTCGCGTCGTGGGAGGTGATTTTCGCTCAAACCTACACCCCCAGGCCATTCATATCAGCTGTCTCTTTAGAAGAGAGAAAATATGTGTTGGGTACTAGATTACCCGGAGAGCACAAGTCAAACTTCCTAAGTTGCATCAAGCAAATAGCATATTAGTCTTACTTTTGGACAAAATATATAATAAAACAAACGTCATTTCAGCGGAAAGAATTTCAGTTATTTTCAAACAAACGTTTCTACATTACATTTTGTTTTCGCAGGCATTAAAGAAAGTCTTCGACATCCTTTGGAACTGTAAAGAACAAAAACAGACGATTCCATTGACCACTACTCAGTAGCGGAAGAGAAAGCAATCTCTCAAAGCCTTTCTCAATCACAAGATGCATGGTATCGTGGAAAGAGGTTGCTATTGACAACGGTTTTGTTTATATCAAGAGCCATTTTCATTCCATCGTGCACTGTACGTATGTCGAGCACTGTATTTATTATGGCACGGCATAAAATAGTTCAAAAGGTTTGTGTGTATACTGAGTGACTCGTGGGATATTCTATTGAATGCCACTCGAAAGAAAAGGCAGTGCATACGATGCGACATTAAAAACGGTGGTCGTTTTTCATCGCTTTAGTACGGTTTGCCCCCGGAATAATGCAAGGAGATGTATGTTTTTGTGAGTAATGCAAGTATTGACCTGTAGGTAGCATAAGTAGTCTAAGTAATCGTTGTCAGTAGCAACCTCTCTCCACGACACCATGCATCTTGTGATGGAGAAAGGCGTCCTAGATGGATGTAGTGGCTGCCATCTTTGTAACTCATAATTTTAATTTCTTTTATAGGTCTTTTATGTGTATTATTTTTAGATAGTTCTAGTTAGGTGTCCCCTGTTAGCAGTGGGGATTCTCTACTGCTAGATGTAATTGACACGGTAATAAAGTCATTATTACTACATTGTGATACAATAATACGAGCATTGTATTGTAATTAGAGTGAAGTATTGTTAGTGGCGTAAGTATCTAAAAGTGTGAGTAAGTTTTGCAAGTTTTGTATTGTAAGTGGCCTATTGTTTAGTGGTGTAAGTAGCTCGCTAATAAATAAATTAAAAAAACGTTTGCCCCCGAAATAGAACGGGCATATCACACAAAAAAGAGCATACAGGAAAACTGTCGCTACAACATGTCCTTGCAACATGCCACCTTGTGTGTTCATGATTAGTAAGGTGCGTGGTAACACTTACAGTTGTATGTTTTCTTTAAGCCATTGACTTAAACAAAGTGTTAAGGACTGGTCAAAAAGTATAAGGGGTCCGGAGCATTTGAGAATGTGGTGGATAGAAAACGCGTGACCCGCCCCTTGCATTTGCTACAAAACTGAGGATCCCCCCCACAAAAAAAAATTAATGAAGTTTGAACTATACATGACCCACCCCCTATAAAACATGAAATTTTTGGATCGCATAGTCCAACAAAATTCCAACAAAATTACATTTTGTGTATGAACTTGTGGTGTAATAGACCTTTTAGATATATTTTCTAACAATAATACAAAAGCATCTAAAAATAATAGTTTCCCTTTGCTCCTGTAACTTCCAGGTCATGTTCGTTAACTCTACCGAAAACTTGACAGTAACCTTGCACACTCGGCCTCCGGCCTCGCTTCGCGTGGAACAGTTATCCATCTAGAAAAAGGTTGTAGTGAGTCCTGAGACTCACACAGCCAGCAAACTTCGAGACCCAGGCTCAAGGATGTGTGTCCTAGACCGATAAACTTGAGTCCCGTACGCTTGTAGATAAATAGCGTGTAGACACAAGTCGGCCATTTGGTGTTCTTGGAGACCAACATATCGAAAGAACGCAGTCAGTTGGACAACTTCAGCACTAGCACTCCTTGCTCACTACGTTAGACTTCTTAGCTTTCGTACAGATTCACAACTCATAAGTTATATTTTAAGTAAAGACACAAAAGAGGGCTAAGAGTTTATTTGTTTTCACATAATAATAATTTCGGCTCGATGCGTACAAAATTTAAATGTATGACCAACTGTTCCATGTTCCAATAATATCAAGGCTTTGATTATAAAAGAAAAAACATTTCTTTTTAAATGTGTGCCAATATACCAATTAATATATTAAAATTCTGCCTAAAACAATAGACCTCGGCACGAGGCTCCGGGGAATAAACCCCACAAACTCTGTAGCTATTCCTTAGAGTCTCGTGCTAAAATCTATTGCTTTAGGCTGAATTTTAATACATCGAAATTGGTCTATTTCTGTTATAAAATAGGCTGACCAACCCCACAATGGGTGGCTAAAAATTGAACGATCCAACCCATTACCAATGGCTCAAAAACTGATGACCCAGCCCCTCGCTGCTCCGGCACACCACCCAATACTTTTTGACCAGTCCCTAACAAATGATTTAAAACGTTGTACGACTCTCACTGATACATTAAGAATCTTTCATGTGAAATCATTCTAAGAATTAAAGTGAAGACAGAAGCAACATAAACATCTCATCACTTTCATTTTAGCCTGCCAGCAGGCTGACCTTTGAATCGCAGCAAGAGACAATGATCTGAGAAACCACATCCCCCATGCCATACATGGGCCTCTTTTAATGATAATCTTTTTCAGTCTAATTTTAGCGCGTGGTCAAACCGCGAGACTATTATTTTTACCTCATTTTCTCTTGATAGCATGCGTGAGCGAAAGGCGAAATGCTCATTTTACATCACTGTGTACATTAACACAGGAACGAAATTATCAATAAAATATTTAATTATTTATTATTTGTCATGTGTTTCTACCTTTTATGTTTGTTGACGAAACCTTGGTGTGCGACCANTACATCGAAATTGGTCTATTTCTGTTATAAAATAGGCTGACCAACCCCACAATGGGTGGCTAAAAATTGAACGATCCAACCCATTACCAATGGCTCAAAAACTGATGACCCAGTCCCTCTCTGCTCCGGCACACCACCCAATACTTTTTGACCAGTCCCTAATCAAATGATTTAAAACGTTGTACGACTCTCACTGATACATTAAGAATCTTTCATGTGAAATCATTATAAGAATTAAAGTGAAGACAGAAGCGACATAAACATCTCATCACTTTCATTTTAGCCTGCCAGCAGGCTCACCTTTGAATCGCAGCAAGAGACAATGAGCTGAGAAACCACATCCCCCATGCCATACATGGGCCTCTTTTAATGATAATCTTTTTCAGTCTAATTTTAGCGCGTGGTCAAACCGCGAGATTATTATTTTTACCTCATTTTCTCTTGATAGCATACGTGAGCGAAAAGCGAAATGCTCATTTTACATCACTGTGTACATTAACACAGGAACGAAATTATCAATAAAATGTTTAATTATTTATTATTTGTCATGTGTTTCTACCTTTTATGTTTGTTGACGAAACCTTGGTGTGCGACCATTAAAATGAAAGTTATTGAGCGGTATTTTCATGTGGTACTGTTTATTATGCTGTACAAGGTGGCTCTAACTTCTAAGTCTGTGTATGAAACCCTAGTGTTGCATTGCGCATATTCCGTATCGTTCTTAAAAGATCTATGCGTTTTCAAGGCGACATTTTATAACAAGAAGACTTAAAATATGCTTGTGCCTATTTTTTTGTTTTCACTTAATTCAGTCATATGAAGTACAGGGCTTTTACTATGGCTTTCCACCATGGCCAGACCGAGCTTTGTAAGATGTTAATAAGAACGTAGCGTTTGCCGTGCATAGTCTCCCTAACTTTATTACTCCCCTTACACCACCCTTAAAAAGCCATATTTTATTTTGCATGAACCCTCTCATATTGACCACCAGCCCCACCCTCCTATAAACCTAGTAAAAAATGAACAGTTCCTAACTCCGTGACACAGTTACATACTAAGAATGGAAGGAGGAAGCGCGTGCTTAACTCAAGCATAATTATATTCTAGAAGTTATATGATTTGTATGGGTATTCAAATGATTTCGCATACAATTTGGAAAGATAAGCACAAGTAAATTTTTCGAAGACAAATTTGAATTGAACCCGTAGGGCGAGTGAACTTTGTAGTCTTTAAAAAATTTAAGAGTGCTTATTTATTTCAAATTCCACGAGAAAAACCATTTGATTGCTTGTTAATAGTATGATAATAGTTTGATTACAACTTTCTGCACTCAGTTTCAACTGTCTGTGCCGTTTGGGATTAATTGACGTGCTCACAGCCAATCAGCATACATAAACTTTTGCATGTATATCATTAACATCGTAATGTACATGCAGTTTTCGCAGTTTATAGTGACAAAAATCTAATTTCTCCTATAGAATTCCGAATCATCAAATCATCATGACGTAATCCGTACCTACAATTCCAATAGCCATACTTATTTATTAACTATTTTTTATACTCGACCAAATTGATTTCATAGATATATGTAGTATTTTTAGCTTGTCAAACACTTTTATCAAGAGCCTCCATTTGGGTAACCACCCCCTGTGTATATGACGTTAAATAAGTCAGTTATCTTATCTTATCTATCTTATCTCTCTCCCAAAAGAGTTCATAAGAAATGTGCCGACACAACTAAGGAAATTTTGTAGTTTGATACCAGGCCATGCTGGCTTTCAGGCCAGGAAAGTAACACTCACCAAATTTTTCCACCTAGTACTGTAGGAAATATATAGAGACCAATAAGGAGAATTTGCTTGTTGACATAAGGGCTACCCAGTACTTAGAAGAAATGAGTCGAGAATTATAAAGGAAATTTGCATGCAGACTCTAAGGTATCTTTATTTACTGGTTCGTTTTCTTTTTATCTGCACGCTTTAGGAACTATGCGTGTTGTTCGGTTTTGGTTGTTTGATAAACTAAGTAACATGTTGCGACAGGCTTTTAAAAGCGCTTCTCGTGATATAAGCCGCACGGTCAATATAATACAATGAGAATATTATGCTGCGATCAACTGTTCACAGGCTAATATCGACTGACTGACTTTCTGACTGTATTTTGTCGGTGATTGTGTATGTTTTGTCTTACTTCGCAATCATTGCGTTGGTCGGAGTTCTTTACCGAATACCCCGCAGTTCCGAGACTGAATTTATATTCATTATATTCAGTTAAGCGTATTTGAGAGTACAATACAGCTTTTATTAGCGACGACTAAGCGAAAGAAAGTGCCATTGTTGCGAGTTCTCAAGAAGGAGATCAATATTCTTGAAAGCTTTCTTGACATTCCGACCTAAAATGAAATTAAAATTAAAGCAAGAATTGATGTTCGCTGAAAATAGAAAATGATCATTATTTTTCTCTCTCCTTTACCATTTGATTAACAAATCGTTACTAAGCTGATTGAACTTTGAAAGAAAATAAATTGGTGCTTAACAATAACAATTAGCTGATAAATCAACAATATAAGTTACTCAACACGCACGTACGCGTATGATTTTCTTGATCTATAACCAAACTTAAGATTTCTGAACAACGATTTCGAGACAGCCCGGTACCAATGGAAACTATTCACTATGACAATCTAAGAGCTTACTTGATTGCTTTTCAGTTGAAAAAGTATAAGCGCGCCAACGCGCGTGGCCTACTTTTCTTTAACTTTAGTCAGAGAACGTTTCGTAATTGTCATTGTAATCTGTCGACGTTGAGCTAAATTTGTTCACCCAACCGCGGTGCGGTTAGGTACTTTAAACTTTGGGTTGAGTGCGAAAAATGGAAAATGACATGTTTCATCGCACGCTACTGAAGAGAACAGAGGTTCTAATATAACCAAGAAACGTGAAACAATTTCTTACTTACCAAGTAGTGGATCATTCTTCTAACAGGAAATGAATAAAAAGGGAACAATTTTTGTGGTTATATCAGCATCGCAGGGGAAGAAGAAATTGTTTAATTTTTCTCAGAAATTTCGTCTACGTAAAAGGCACAATCGATTTAATTACGTAATTAAAATCATTAAAAAACAATTAAAAAATAATTTAGCCATTCCTTTCTGCGTAAAAACACGAAATTCTACATTCTAAAGCACACAAAGAAATTAACTTCGACGCGGTAGCAGATTCATCTTGCCGACAATAAAAACATTGGTTTTTAAACGTATGTGAATATTTGCAGTATCGTTGACCAGCCTGGGGGCGCCCGCAACCCACCTTCCTTCCTGTATCGAATTGGATGTCTGTTCGACGTTTGACGTACCATAACATTAGCCGTTGCCTTAAAATGTCCATTTTAAGCCATTTTACTTTTTCCTCCTGTATTAGTTGGAAGGAAAAATGACACTAAAGGTAAACGTCAAGGTAAACTTTATTTAGCCAGGGTGGCCCATTCAGCGACGAGGCTGATATCCAGAGGGGCCCTGGACAAAAAATATAATAATTAAAAATACAAGACATCGTGATAATTTAAAAATACAAGATAAAATTTAAAAAATACAAGATATAAATTTAAAAATACAAGTAATAATTAAAAGTATAGAGTATACACGAGCATGCAATAATTTATAAAAATCTAGTTCCTATATAATTTAAAAATTGTAGGCGTCAATTGAAACTTTGAAAGAAGAAAGTGACTCGGCGTTTTGAATGCTACGGGGTAAAAAAAGCTGACACCAAACATCTAAAGGTTCGTTTTGCAAGGCTAAGTTTGGGTTTGGGCAGGTGCAAATCGGCACTCAACGACCACTAGTTTCATACCAATACAACAGAAACTCAGAGCGTAAGGTTTCAATGAACTATGGCGCCCACTGACAGAAGAAATTGCATGCATGACTGTTTGCATCGTCGTCTAAAACATTATTTATGGTTTAGCAAAAGGCTTTATTTGTGTTCATATTATCACGTTAATTTCCGGATGAATAATTTGTTTGAATAGTACTGACCTCAAATTCATTTTTCATATCAATATCTATGAAAAAGTTGAATTGATCTTTCATAAAATTTCGAGGCAAGCTTCAACAAGAATACGTAAGGAATTAATTGTCCTCTTGTTGGTTAGGAACAGGAACTGGTAATAGATTCCCACGGTATCGCCTTAACAACGAATATTGACTTCAAAAATTGGAAAAGTCTAAAATACAATTCCGGTTTATTTTTACACGACTTCTTTAGCTGGATATGTATTTTAAGAAATTTTGTTCTTGGCGCTTTAAAACGAATGTAAATGTTTCAACATTTTATCGGGATGCTTCATCATTTTGTTGCTTAACAACAAGTTCCTACGTCATTCCAACAGTTCTGTTTACACCCATGCAATTTTTAACAATTTTGATATACGACCTACTAATTTGTCGCTGAATTCTAAAAGTCCATAGGTGGCTTTGGCCCACTGTCAATCAAACACTAATATGGAGGTAATGACATCCTATTGGCTCAATATCCTGGACTGATATTGCTAAGGATGGCTGGTAACTGCAGTTGCCGTGTTTTAGGGTTTCGTTGCGTTCGTGGATAGTTTAAGCTTGGTTTCAGCGAGGACTTAATTTCACATCACACTGACACACAAAGTTGAAAACTCTTTTTTGTGAAAGACGCGAAGTTTAAAGGGTACACCACTAGAAGTGGAGACGGAGTAGGGCGAGATTCGATTAATTGACGTGCTTGAGGGAATTATATCTTTTCAACTAACAATTTCTAAAACAAAACTGACTCAAAGCGATGGCTGGATTGTCGACAGCCCTGATTTTCCTCACGATGGCAATCACAGGCTACAGCATGGCCGAGTTCATTACAATCGAGCGTGATAGTGCCTTGGTACATGTTGATTTTCTCTTACCAGATTCTCATTGCCCTGGGAACCAGCCACAATGCGGCAATTTCAACGGTACTTCGCTTTCAATATGTTGGTGTTTTTGCCACGATCAACAAGGCAAAACTACTACTTTTTACGAGTCAAGTTATGGCTGCCTTCCAGTCAGCGATGTTCGACAGCAGGCAGGTATGATCGTCAGTCAGTTGCTCTAATCATAGTTTGTTAAGTTACGATATTTTGAGTTATTTTGGCCTCGAACAAACCTACTTTTAAATTGAAGGAAACCTGAAAATAATTGTTTACTAAGATAAAAAAGACTAAAGAGATATTAATAGTCCATAGAGGAACAAGGATGGTTAAGGATGGAGAAGACAAAACGGATTGCAAACGACGAACTTGAAAAATTTAGATACGCAAACCGTGACGTAGTTCCTTTAAACAAAGTTTGTGTTAATGAATGTGCAAGCATCTGAACAATCATAACTCTTTATCACTATAATGAACTCCTTGATTCGGCTATACAGAATTCAGAGTTATTAATATTCCTTGCCGTGCTTGTCTTGTCCTTTTTGCTGGTATAATGGTTGTAGAAGCCCTGAAGACTTGAAGGCGGAATTTCAATGACGGAAATTACGCTTTCAATATTTTATCTAAGTTTGTGAGTAACGCAACGGTCTCAGGCTTACTGAATGGCAAACCAATTTTTGTTTCTTGGTTTCCAAGTATCCTGCTAGAGTAGGAATACCTTCATGTTAAATAGCTGTTTCTTTGTTTTGAATCGTTTTACTTAATTTTTCAATCCTTTGTGGCTAAGATTGGCCGGTGTTTTGGTTAATATTTAATGAACGCTTCGCGCTTTGTATTGAGTATAGCTATAAATATAAATATTCGCTCTTAATGTTTCACAGCTTCAGTACTTCTTTATCGAATAATGATACCTTGTTTACGCCTTTCAAATTAACCAAACATGTTTACCAAGAAATGCCAACTCGCGTTATTAGCTTGGTAGAAATAGAGTGAAAAACACAAGCTATCGTTAAAGAGAAAAGAAATCCGAGCTCTCCCAACGGAAGTGCAATCCAACACCGAGGGCCAATGTTTCTTTTGAGTTCAACTTGTTCCTTATTGTAACCTGCGATATCAATCTATTTCTTTTTGTTTTCTTCCATTTTCGGGACTGAATACTCACTCTTGTTTTTGCTCGAGGGGAAAATGTTTCAAAATCAGTTACCCTACTCTATCGTTTTCATTTGCTTCTAAAAACGTCGTAATTTGATATTGCGCTTGCGTAAAATTGCAGCGCAACTTCATGACACAATCTCGTTCCCAGGGCTGAGAAATCCTGGGAACGAGGTTTAACCACGAGCTGCATCAGCGTTCTTAACGTGTCCTGTTTTTCAACTGTGTTCCTTTGTTTCGATCACACTCAGAAGCGTGTTTTTACGGAATAGAACTTACCATCAATATATTAGCCACTCCAGTTATGTTCGATTTGAAATGCGAGAATCTGATTGGTTCTCTCATCGTTTTCTATTCGCTGATAGACCACGATCGCGCGCGTTGGTCTTGAAACTTAAAATTACTCTCAAGTCTTTAAAATACCACAGAATTCTAGGTTTTGTGCTGTTTTGTGCTGTAAACTAAAACAATTACAAGTACATTACTTGCCCTCGTTTTCTATGAGCGAAAGTCAACTCGGCTATGGCTCGTTGACTATTCGCTCATAGAAAACGAGGGCGAGTAGTCTAATTTTTTTATTTTTTTTTTCACAGGCTGCCTGATGCTCTTTACAGGCGAGTCAGTGGACCAACGTTTGGTGTTTTTTCCATCTGATTCTGTTCTGGAACAAACTGTAGACGTGCCTGCCAACCAGAGGTGTACCTTCTATTATGGAAATCGATTCTATGTGCAATATCTGGATTGTACTGGTTCCTGGAGGTCAATAGAATCACCAAATCTGCTTGACACTATAGAGCTGACACCCGGTTGGTCCTCAAGTCAGCTGAAGATTAGGGTAAGTTAGTTACTAGCCTTGATTGTCTCGGTTACTGGTAGATGAATTGGTCAAAATTTCAACTGTCCGCTGAGGTGGGCAATTGTATATATCTAACTAAAAAGGTAATGATAACGCGGGCCGAAATGTTAACTGAGAACTAAGAAATCACCACATTAAAAAAATTGAATGACAACAGAGATTATAACTATCCTATCCAGACCCAAAAGCGATGAAGTGCACAGGCTTCAGATCAGATCAGATTTTGGCCTTTTATATTTTTGTATTTTTAATTTCTCCAAATGACAATATGAATACAGCAATGTTTAAAATATTTGCAGTGAAAGGAAAGTAGAAAGGGCAAACTATAGTAGTAAAGAAATAGTTTGTGTTAGATCTATTAATACTAGGCAAAATAGAACTGGTAAAG